CAAAATTATTTGCATCAAGGTCCCATAATGTCTAATGTATATACCAAGTTTGAGCAAAATCCATCTATAAACAGCAGAGAAATAGTTGCTTTTTATGATTTCTTAGCACAAAAATGGCCGCCATTTGGCCATCTTGAATCAGATCATAAAACAAAATGATGTGCATCAAGGTCCTATAATGTCCAACGTATACACAAGGTTTGAACAAAATCCATCTGTAAACAACTGGGAAATGCTCAATTTTGATGATTTTTAGCACAAAAATGGCCACCATTCTGCCATCTTGAGTCAGATCATGAAACAAATTGACGTGCATATGTATGATATCATGTATGATGTATGTGTGAAGTTTGATTGTGATTGGTCCAGGCATTTCTAAGATACAGGTCCGGACACACGCACAGACGCATGCACGGACGTCAAAACATAAGTCCCTGCGTCCGAACGGGGACTAAAAATGTGATCTGTTTTGCCACCGATTTCATCGAAAGAACAGCAACATTTATTTACAAAATTTAGTTCTAAATTTTTGAAAGGTACAAAGAAGTATTTAAAGGAGAACCAATACTATAAATCGGGGAAAGATGGCCACCGCAAATAGTATGCTAATCTGAATCAAGCCACTCACATCGTGGCGGGAGCTCCGTGAAATGTGCCATTTACGATGTTTAGAGATCAAGCTGTGATTCCAAATACATTTCTACTGGGGCATGAATATGTACGCTAGCGATTACACTCATCTGGTTGGGCTTTTGATGTATAAATGTTGTTTGAAATGTGCTGCAACAAGTAAAAATCCTGAGTTTAAAAAGGCGACTAATGTATGCAAAATGCCTGTCAATCACAGTTTGAGTAAGCGAGCATAATAAGCATTCATATACTTAGTGAACAGAGGCGAAGTTAATTAACCATGATCATGTGGTGCAATCCATGAGATTGAGCGGTTCCCCTTTAACACCTTTCATAGTCATCAACCCATTGTCAACCCCTTGTAAAAAAAACACCCAGGGATGCCCTCACCTCATTAAATGTCAAAAAATAAGGTGTAGGCTTACATCCGGGGAGGGGCTTATGACGGGGAAACAGTTATATTTTAGTAGTTCGAATTGTGTGTAAAGTAAACTTACCGTTTCCTGATCGTTTATAATGCTGAATACGTCTGTCAATAACCAAATTGGTACCATCCCCCAGCATGCTAACTCTCCCATTGTAAGTAACAGCCTAAGATGGTGTACATTCGTATCTCGTAATGCCTAGATGAAGCAAATAACAATTATATCAATATTTGTCTTGTTGTAAACAACACCATCACTGGTGGGGTGTTATGTTCAGGTTTTTTTCTAAACCGGGGAACAGGGATGCAGCAACCTGTTACTCTCGGTTGGCGCCCTCTTACCAAATTGCCGATTGAACTTTCAAGTCGTAAATATATTTCTTGAGCTATGCACTTCCGTGCTGTCGTACAACATGAAATCTTTCTCAAATATATTTTTCTTCGGGAAAACTTCCCAGCAACACCAGCTGACAATGTGTCTGGACACCAAATACACTAAAATGACTCCAAAAATATTTCAATAGCGATAGATATACCGTTCAAACGACACAGAAACTTTCCGATATGGCGTTTCCAGGTTGATTCGTCCTTCCACATCCCCCAACTCCACTCCTTCGCTAGTGTGTGCTCCCTCTTGTTAATTTTTACTAGAAAAACCTTTGATGTTACATTACACATGTATGTATATTGTTACATGTCTGTTAGTGTTATGGTACATTATGTTCTCAACCAGTGTTTGAAACTGCTGCCCACTCTTATGCCTGAGATGGATAGTTTCTCAGTTGGACAAGTAAAAATTGAAACTTAAATCATCCACTATTTAGATTGGCAGATTGTTGAGTTTTACAATGAGATGAAAGTTTTTCAAAATAATCTTCAATGCAGGGCTAGTAAAATTTGAAATGTATGTGCCTTAGTGTCTTGTACACAGTTTTGAAGGAATTCACACACGGTTCTCAACAGAGATTGGCATATTGCGATGAATGCATATATTGATTTCAAGAATACTCGCGCATGGTGAACAGTATACTCGCTTGAATATCTCTAGTGCTACTCAAAAACACTAGAAAGCAGAATATTAACCAGCCTTAGCCAGAAAATGTCAGATCAGTTCCGTGTGCTTATTAAGTTCATTCCAACAAAATTACATTTCTAATTGCATTCACACAATTTCGTTTTCCAAAGAAAGCATCAGTACAACACCACATCACATCACACCACTGTATGAATGGACCTACTTTTTCGAGTTTGGCTATGTTTTCATGACTACCGGTATTTGTCATATTTTTTATTCATCTAATGATTTTCTTTTTTTTTTAAATATTTGAAAAAATACTGAATTCCACAAATGGCACCTGTGGCATAGACTGACTCATGGATTAATTAGATAATGCCCCACCAACAAGAAATTCTGTTAAGGGAGAATGTACGTAACAAAGGAAGAAGTTATTTTTGCAATGCCAACCTTAACTCTAACATATCCCCCACCCCCCCGGTTATGCATATGTCCCCTCAAATAACTATAGATGTCCTCAGGAGGGGCATGTAGAATTACAATGGGTAGCTCTAGAGGGTAGTGTTAGCAGTGGTTGGTGACAATTCATACAAATTGAGATGTACGAGTATATCCTGTGACAAATGAACAGATGTGTAACACCAGTATTATCGGTATTTTATCTTCTGATGTGAACAGCACGTGTATGCAAGTGAACAAGTGCGTCTTCTTACATGTTGACCTAATACGAAGATGTTTGGTTGGCATTGTAATTACTTTCAAATTTTACCAGTCCTGCCTGCAAGAAAATTACCAGATTTATGATGGTGTTTAAATACTTTGTTACCATTGTGAGTACACAGTATGAAAAGATTAATTTAAATTTCCCATTTTAAATTGCTGTGTTCTTTGTTTCACACACGGCCTTTGTATCAGCCATCAACTGCATTCAACTTTATTAAATTTTATAGAAAAATTGCATTTTCCAAATTGTTATTGGAGCAACCATAGAAAAATTTTACCAGACCATCTGACTTGTAAATTTTAATATTTAACCGGCCTGTCTGGAGGTTTCGGGGGTACAGTATTAAATTACAAACACTGTAAAACATGTATATAATAAATCAGAAAAACAACATGTGGATGACTTGTAATAAATTATGAAACCAAGATTCACGTAAAAAATATTGGCTTTTATCAGTATATTTCACTTTGAAATTTCAAACGTGCCATAATGGCTCTATGCTGTCGTGACAACTGTGACACCGCATACATGCACCTTATTAAAGTCTACATACCATCCCAATACACACGCACACATTCCATTATTATATGCCAGCTAGCACCAATTTCTAATTTTATTTTTAATATCACGACAAATAAACCTGTAGAATGTAACCATGAAATGAACATGTTGGCACATCGTCACTGTACTTATTGAGCATAACTGCGGGGGGAAATGACGACAATTGGTGAACAGCTGTCCACAGTACCTGTCAATAAGAGCGCATTTAATCCCCAGCAATCCTAAACAGCTGATGCAGAACTTTTTTTTTTTTTTATTTCTTTGGAATACTCACTGGTTGAATAATTTCATAATTATTGAACAATTATCGACTTTGATTAATTTTATCATCAATTAAAAAATGAGTTTTTGTCATGGTGACCATGTGGGGTTAAAGGTTATTTCATTGAATGGTATAATCTTATGTGGTTACTATTACATTGTATTACACGATATCCTGTGTTCGTAAATCTGGTCGATACCAGTGACGTCATGGGATGTATTAGCTACTAGCTGAAGACTAGTGGATAAAACCTACGATGTCACGAGTATCGACCAGCTTTATGAATAAGTTACATCATGCTATAACCTTTTATGACCCATTCTGACAAGCAGTTTGTAATTTTTATTCTAATATGATGAAAATAGTACCCAACATGGGATTTGTTTTTGTCATGCACTGTATATTCCAACCACTATAAAAATTAAGTCCCTGTCATTTAACATGCAGTAAACCGCTTTCAGTATGCAAATTTTTGTCAGGGATAATCACAAAAAAATGTAGCTGTGAATATTATTTCACTGGTGTTCTTCAGAAAAAGAAGTCGCTGTATAATGGCCATTTTAATTATGAGAGTTATTAGCGTTATTTGGTCTGAAATTTGCTTTTTGATAAAAATGGTTTGGTCACACAATTTGTTTTATTATCATCCAGTTTCTCTGTGTACTGTACAATACTTTATTTTCGCTGGAATTAATTTTCGCTGAAAAGGCTTTTTGGGCGTTTTGCTTGGAATTTATTTTCACAGATTTTTGATGAGATTAATGTAAAATATAGGAAAAAATGTATATTCGCTGAATTTTATTTTCACGGAATCATCCCTTCAGCGAAAATAGCGAAAATAAATTCCAAGCGAAAATAAAGTATTCTACAGTAATACACCAATAAGACGTACATACTTTGTATACTGTGTATATGGAAAGTGTTTACCAGTACTAATAATAGGTGTTGATATCAATACAGTTTAATGAAATTGCTTAAAAATTGCTGATACTTTGTGAATAGACTGTTTATTACTATATGAGATAATACAGTATGATGAAAAAATGGTAATGGGCCAATTTTTTAAATAAACATGAAAACGAGGGGAAACAAGTAAATCAAAGAAAGCTTAGAAAGAACTCCCATGTGCCGAGAGTATTGGAGACACATTAAATATAATTCGAAATTACTTAGCTGAAAACTAATTATGCAAATCAGAAAATTAATATGACCAGATTTGAGTGTAAAACTAATGAGGTCTGCGCAATGTAACAGAAAATCTATGTCTCCAAGTTTAATTGAAATGTGATTAGAACCAAAAAATTATGAATTATTATGCTTATTAGGGAATTAATATGAACAGATTTTTACCCCAAACTAATTAGGTTTGTACATTGTCCTAGAGCATCTTTGTACTAAGTTTCATTGAAATGGAATAATTAGTACCGTGAAAATTCCAAAATTTCGACCCCTCTAAAAATTCGATTGGCTATTTATTTGCCGGGTTTCGGTGTTTTATTTACCTCCAAATTTTCGACTCCACTAAAAATTGCCGACTCATTCTTATTCGAAAATTGCGACCAGTTTTAGTTTTCCCCCAAACGAAAAAAAAAAACGATGTGAGCGTTCAAACGGGACCTTCCTCGAAGGCATGAATCCGGGTTTCTGATTGACTGA